AAAATTGGAAAATCAAATACACTAAAATAAGTATGATCTGAGTGCAATGGAAGAGTGTAAGGAGTGCTCTGGAAGGAAGCCAGTACAAAATAAATAGAGGCGCGCACCAGGGCAGCCGGTGCGATCATGCATTTTTGCAATTTCGTTAAACGAATGATTGCTTGTTAGTGTTGAAAAATAGTTGAAAATTCCACGCACCGATACGTGAAAGCTGAATTTGAAACCTCGAGGAGTGAATATCTTTTCAAAATTTCAATCTCCCAATTTTCTGGCTTTCGAACAACTTTCGTGTGGTCTTACGTACGACCATCATACTTCTCCTGAAATTTTCAGCCTCCTAACTTTTCTGGCTCCCTAGATAATGATTTTTCTCACCAAAACTTTCACGGGGATGTTGAAAATTTGCGAAGCTGCACGGGCTGGGGATGCCATGCTGAAATTTCAGCTTCCAAGACTTCGTGGTCCCCGAAACAATAATTTACCCGCAAAAAGCTATACATAGTACCCAGCGATGCATGGAGGCTGAATCCGTATTTTGCGGGAGTCGTGCACTGATAGGGGACATCGCCTAAAAATTTCTGATTCCCAATTTTCGTGGGTTCCGAGATAATAATTTTTCCTGCCGAAACTTTCATAGAGCCCTGGTGCACGGGAACGCTGAATTTGAATTTACAAAGTTGTACGTGGGCAGGAGGCAATTACCCTAAAGTTTCAGCTTGTTAAACTGCGTAGTTCCTGAGACAATAATTTACCCTCCAAAATTTTCACGGGGCCGTAGGTAATATCCGAGGGCGCAGGAACACTGACTTTGAATTTGCAGGGTCGTACGTTGGCAGGGGATCAATACCTTAAAATTTCAGCTGCATAGACTCCGTGTCTCCCGAGACAAAATAATTTACCCGCCAAAACTTTTACGAGGCCGTATGTGTTACTCGCGGGCAGGGGAGGCTGAATTTAAATTTGCGGCGTTACACCTGGGCGGGTAACATACCTCTAAATTTTCTGCTTCCTGGCTTTGCAGTCCCCAGGTTGAAAGTGGCGGACAAGTTGCTGCGGACACACACACATACATACAGACAGCTCCGTGACAATATGCGTTTTGTACTGCTGTTACGCAGCAAAAAAACGCATAAA